AAAGTACTTATACTCTATTTGCTGTTACATAAAAACATCACTTTTGCTTTTGACTTCTATTGCCACATTTTGAAATATCAGCTGTGAACATTTGGACAATGCCTGCCTTAAATACAGGTTAATATTATTTCTTGTTATAAATCAGGAAAAGCATAGAAATACCATTAAACAGTACATACTGGGACACTAAAATATGTTGTTTCTTAGGGTACTGAGGGAGCCAAGTAGAAAACACAAAATAATAATTTTCAAAAGTTCATTAAATTTTCATCATTTTAATTTTACTTTACATTTTGTGATGACATTTCTAAAATCATATATTTATACAAATAATTCATCTATAAATAGCTTTATTTGCATATTTTCTATGCTTTACTTCAGTAGTAACATGTATATATTTATACATGTAATGTATTCACACACATAAATTCACAGGTAAAGTGGTATATTAGTGGGGTCTTTTTCACAGCAAAAGTGAAGCATGATCAAAACTTATTATTCCAGGAACTTTACATGTATTTTAAATAATATGCAGGCAATACTTACAGCAGTCTTAAAAATAAGTTGAAAATAAAAAATAATAATACATATTTCTCTGTTCACAGTGAATCTTAGAGAAAGAAAACAAAGAATATTTTAATGCAATGTATCAAGTGTAAAGTAGAAAATGTAAATAAATACAATTGTGTTGAATGCAAACTTTTTTTCTCTTGTGTAGGTATGTAGCACAATATGTGATGGTATGAAACACATACGAACAGAAATGAAAGATTTAACAGTAATAGCAACAGAATTCAACAACAAAATACGAATATCTCATAGTAATACTATTGGTAAATAATTCACACTGTATTTAAGAGTGTGGCAATAATTAATTTATAAAACAACTATATTTGTTTTTCCATGTTATAGGTGAGAAAACTAAGTTACAGTAACGTTGAATTCCTTTCTCAGAATAAAGGGATTTGAATTTTTAGGCTTTCAATATTTTCATCTCAAAATACTACGTTATATTTACTTGGGGTATGTGTGTGTGTGTGTGTGTGTGTGTGTGTGTGTGTGTGTGTGTTTAAATTCTTTGGTTTTAGAAACTTGCGTTAACTTAATTCAAGAGCGAAAATTGAAACTTCTGAACTTGGATGCTGTTAACTCATTTAACCGATTATTCATTCTTCTACTAGCATACTGTCTTTCTTGTAGTTGGAAGGGAACATTTATTAATTAATTATTTGATTATTCTTATGTCTCAAAGTTAAAAGTCCTAGTAATCTAACCTCACAAATGTACAGAGAACACTCACACACTTCAATTTAAAGAAAATTTAAATAATAATATTAAAGTACATAGGAAAGCCATCAATATTAGAAGCCACAATATGTTGGTATTTGATTTAAAAAGACAATACTGTTGTAGTATATTAATCACTGCTATTTGCGATGCATATTCTCCATCTCCACCTTTGTGCTTCATGATTTTCAAAAACGAATATATGGCAAACTGTTCTCTTCTTTTTTTCTTTTTCTTTTCTTTTCTTGCATTTATATATTTATTTATTTATTTATTTATTTGCATTATAAAGACACCACTCTCACTGTCTGGAGTGACAGACGAGGAGGATGCAAACAGCTCTAGCTATTTTGTTTTGACATTTGTCTACTGGTGGGTGGTGTGTTTCTCAGCCTTTACTTTTTTGTACAAACCCTCTGGACCGGAATGCTCGTTCACACTGGATTACAATACGATGGGTCATGTAAGAAACAGCTATCTAAAGCATTTATAGCCATAAATATTAAAAGGGTAGCTTGAGCAATTAGATTCCCACAGAAAATCAGTGTTTGTTTCAACATTTTTTTAAAGAACTAATCTTCATTTTTTTAAAAGAATTAATCTTCCATTTTAGAGACAGCAATATATATAAATCTTCCATTTAGAGACAGCAATAAAAGTTTTTTAAAAATATTTAATTTTCTCGATTTTGGTCTGACGTGCTCATTACTTATCCAAACAATGGATATTTCAGTGAGAATTCTATTTAATTTATCTGAGTTCATTTTTGGCTTAATACAGGGTCTAGGAATCTTGCTCCTAGATATTTACCCAAGTGAAGTGAAAACTGATGTGAACACAAAAACTTACACATGAATGTTTATAGCAGTTTGACTCATAATTGCCAATAGTTGGAAGCAACTAAGACATTATGTATGGTACTGTAATGCACATACAGAATATTATGCATGTGTTTACACTCAGAACTGTACAACTCAAAAACTGAACTCTAATTTAAACTATGGGATTTAAAAACAATGTATCAATATTGTTTCATCAAGCGTAATAAATGTACCACACTAATTCGAGATGTTAGCAAGAATTGTGAGGAGGTGAATAGTGGATATGTGAGAACTCTGTAATTTCTGCACATTTTTTTCTGCAAATCAAAATCTGTTCTAAAAAATTAAAGCCTATTAAAAACCAAGCTATAATGAACATATAAATTTATTTTTTAAGCAGAAGAATTATATTGTGACATGAGCAGAAATCATTTATAACAGATGTGAAATCAGCACATTTGAGTATAGATTCTAATAGACGAGGCAATAAAGGGGTGGATAATAGTGAAAATCATTTTGATTGCGTCAAAATTTTCAGTAAAGAAAGAAAAAACACCTTAATCTCAGAATAAGGATATTTAAGTGTCAGAACTTCAAGATTAAAAAAACTGTTTTAAATAAAATTTTGTTTAAAGCTAAAGGAAAAATGAAAAGATGGGTTATAATTGATACTATCAAGTAGTATTATGTAAGAATGTTTTGAACTATTTTATAACATTGCCCTTCTTATTCTCATCTATGAGTGAAATATAAAATTGTTGTTTGGCCAGGTACAGTGCTCACCTCTGTAATCCTAGCACTCTGGAAGGCTGAGGCAGAAGAATCACTTGAGCCCAGGAGTTTGAGACCAGCTTGGGCAACATGACGAAAACCCAACTCTACAAAAATTGCAAAAGCTAGCCAGGTGTAGTGTAATGTGCTTTAGTCTCAGCCTCTAGAGAGGCTGAGGTGAGAGGATCGCTTGAGTCGGGGACAGGGGTCGAAGCTGCAGTGAGCTCTGATCACATCACTGCACTCTAGCCTGGGTGATGAAGTGAGATCCTGTCTCAAAAATAACAAAACAAAATAAACGTTTCCCATAAATCACTCTGATTTTGTGGGGAAAATGCAAAAAGTCAAATAATTGTACCACTTGCTAATTATGTTCAAGTCCATTTATTTATACAAGTATCTGTATTCTTATCTGAAAAACGAGAATGTTATTATCTATTCTGTGTACATTACAGAAGTGCATTGGGCTTCAGCTAAAACCAGGACTTTATAAGAACTTTGTAATATTTAAACCATTTTGTAAATATAAGAAAGAATCATATTATAATTGAGGATTTACTAGATAACAGAAATTGTGTAGGCCCCTACTTACTTGTTACTATTGCCAGGCACGCACTGTGTTAGACAAAACATCATATTTTATTTCGGTATCATAGAAACAAATTATTTGAAATTAGATTGATCTGAGTTCAGTTCTAGCTATGACCAACTGAGTCATCTTTAGCATTTATACCTGAAAGCTATGCTTTTTTTTTTTCTCTATAGAATGAAGGTAATAATATTACCTGTCTTATAACTTTGTAAGTAAAACTGATTATTGCTCTAATGTATATGTCAGGTATATGTCTTACAACTTTTAAATTTGAAAATTTAAGCCCTTCAATGAGATTTAAATAGATTCAAAATTGATTAAAATATGTAATTGGGATATATGTTATGATGAAACAGCCCTGGTTGAAGATGCTGCTTCTGAGGTCTGTGAGGTCTATGAGGTTTCTCCCAGCCACAGCAGCCATTAACAAGGCTCTGCAGAACCCCTAGAGCCTTGGGATTAGAACAGACAGACAGCCACTATATTACATTAGAAGGTTATATAATGCCATGCAATTAATAAGCCAAAGAATACTACACTGAATAAAGTTCTCCAAATATCCATAATTTTTGAAATTACTGCCATAATCTAAAACAAAACCAAAAACACCTTCCTAAGGCAGCATTAGAAAGCTTCATCAGCCATGTTCAATTTAGATGAAAACATGATACCATCCCTGGTTATCCCTAAGTTTCTTCTATGCAGCGAAAAGAGACAGAATGGAGAACATAGCACCATACATTTTTGCTCTAAAAATGTTTATTTTGTTTCTCAAAATAACTTTGAATTTGGAGGTCAAAACACATGACAGATGAATAAAGAGAGAGAGAGGTAGGGAGACACTACATGACATTTATCACAGGTTAGTCACCATTATAAATAATGTTCCAATAAACTAATTTTACCAAAATAGATTTAGTGGAAAGGTAAATAGAATAAGTGGAAAACAAACTGCTGACAACTGAGGTGTAGACATATCCTGAGAAAATCAGGACAGTGACCACAGACTTTTCTTGCTAATAGTTTGACTATAACAGGAAAGAGTAGGAAGTTGAAGGAAAAATATTTAAGGTTGTTTTTTTTTTTCTCTCTTTTTGTCTTAATGGAAATACATTGGAGCCTGTGTATTTCAATGCAAAGAAACAAACATGAGTTACAAAGTAGTTTCCAAGAAGAGATTAAAAGAGTCTGGGATAAAATAAAACCAGGGAAATGACTTAGACTTCAGAGAGGCAACTTTTGTCCATCTCAAGGAACATAGAAAATATCCATGAGTTCAAGGGTAGATGAATTCGTAAATGAGAGGTATATGAAATTTAGCAAGTTGGTGTCTGTTTTCATTTTATATACTGTGGATAATGTGGATAAAATGATATACAAAAGACTTGAGAGCATAGTGAAAGTCTGTAGTCACCACCAAAGGGCCTAATGAAGACTGATTCGTGACCTGTAATCGAATTGCCAAGTGGTGTTGAACTAACAGCAGATATTGGAAATCATGAATTTCTTTTCTTTTTTCTTTTTTTTTTTTTTGAAGGAAAATTTGTATTTTAATTATTTTTATGTACAGAAAACTCAACAGTGTACATTTAACCCAGCTTAGTGGTAAGTTCTTTAGCCTTTGCCTTTTCAAGCTTGGCGATACGAGCCACAGACTTGGGACCCAGGACATTGCCGCCCCAGTGACGGCGGATCTCATCGTATCTGTCGTTGTAATTGGTCCTGATAGCTTCCACCAGCTTAGCCAAAGCGCCTTTGTCTTCCGAGTTCACCTGTGTGAAGGCGACAGTGGTGCAGGTCTTCCTGTGGACTAGACGGCCCAGTCTGGCCTTCCCCTTGATAATGCAGTAAGGGACCCCCATTTTAGGACACAGGGCAGGCAAGAAGACAACCAGCTCGATGGGATCCACGTCATGTGCAATCACCACCAGCTGAGCCTTCTTGTTCTCCACCAAGGTGGTGACGGTGTTAACTCCTGCTCGAAGGTGGTCTCTTAGTGGGGACATCCCCTTTGCCAGCAGCTTTCTTCTCGGCCCGGGCCAACAGCCTCTGCTTCTTCTCTTGCTTTGTCTCTGGTCTGTGCTTGTGCACCAGCTTAAGCAGCTGAGTAGCTGCTAACGACTCTAGCATTTTCGTTGTGTAGTTTATTCTTCGGCATCTCTTAGAAGTGTAGGTATGGGAACAGAAGAAGTAATTATATTAATGGGATTGATTTATTAGTAGCAATTTCCTATGTGGGTCCAGGAAAAGGCAAAATGAGCATGATAGTTGAACATGCGGAAAGAGAATATGAAATCATTGGAGAATTTGGTGAATAAAGAAAGGAAAAGTGAGGAAAGGACTAATTTGGAGAACAGACAACATAATAATAAAATGATGATATGAATAGTATGATTAATGTGAATAAGTAAGAATCATTTGATAATTACTGTGTGCTAGGAAATGTTTTTATTGTTCTTGTTGAATCTTTATAGCAAAAAGATAAAGTTGATACCATTATCTAACATTTTACAGAGTTAACTGAAGCACACAGATTAAGTAAACAGCCCATGAGCACTCAGAGAGCAAGTGATTAAAACAAGCTAAAGAAAATGAAAGTCAAAATGTCTTTGAAAATATGGTGAACTGAAAGTCAATGAATAAAATAATCAAAAGATACGATGTTAAGTGTCAGGTAGAATATTAAAGTCTAAGATTTCAGGAGTAGAGAATTTCAGTTGATAAGATACATACATACCCAAGGAATTGTGTTGGTAAAATAGAAAGCATTAATCATTCAGATACATAACAATTGTTTTGAACCCTAAAATTAAAAAATAATTTATGGTAACTGCTGATAAGAGGATTTAAAAAAATCTATCTCCTCTTTCTTATTCTCTCAGCTCAAGCCAGATATCTGAGGAGTTTTTCCTCAATTTGTTTTTTTTGTTGTTGTTGTTTTGTTTTGTTTTTTGTTTTTTGTTTTTCTAATGGCTCTCTTTATAACAAATTTATTGGGTAAACATCATCTGCATTTGTCCTCATCATAAGGACTGTGTGGGGGGCATGCTTATTTAAGTCTAATAAAATATAAAGATAACATTGGAAGTATCAAGAAATTATCAGTTATAGGTGGAAGCAAGTTCATTTTAGCATTATGTTTCTTGGACTAATAGTTGGCATTCACATGTAAAAAGAGGAACCACTTATTAAAGTCTTCAGAGCCCAAGGAAATGGTCAGTAGGTGGATGGTAATCAAGAAGTGTGGTGATTGGTAAATAAGAAAGCAACGGATGGAAGCAGAATAGCTTGAAATCAACAGTGGGAGTAAGTCTGAAAACCATCTATTTGCATCCAAGCTTTTATTATATGGTGCCAATACACTACACAGCCCAACGGAAGCAGTGCCCACACAGAAGAGCCCAAATTTGGTTAAGGCAAGGGAGTAGTGAAACTATTCTACTAAAAAAAACAAAAAAATAAGAGAACATTATTTAATGATTGAATGTGGTAGTTTCATAGTACCCACGGAAAGTGGGGATGCACTTAAAAATGTGAGATAAAAGTTGACTAGAGAAAGAAAGAATCTCACCCAAATACAGATCTGATCATCTGTATATTTATGCGATTCTTCTCTAGGAATGTTTTCCTGTTCAGTAGAAATGACGAAGCAGGTAAGTAGGAAAAAGAACTACATTTTTTGAAGATGACCTAGTATGACAGAAATAAAAAATATAAAATTAATCAGTCCAGTGTTTTTTGCTTTTAAAAAATTGTGCAATGTTCTTTTTTCAGTGTAATCAATGAAGGCTCTGAGTATTGTATTACGTCTCATTGTTCAAAGAATTCTCATACCTGTACGAATGTTGAAAATCAAGTCAGGAAACCAGGTCCTGGGAAATGCTAACCATTACCCTAGAGCAGTAAGTGGAGATTTGAAACATACCCAACACTGGTACAAAAGACCCTAAGTTGTGCACTACATTTTTCATGCACTCTTAAAAATGCACTGTAGTCTGTGATTAAACATGACAGTAATGATCAAATCTGTACTTTACATTTGTGAAGATAGATTTACAGTAATTTACCAAGACTCAATCATGGATGCAAATTTGCAGTCTGTGATACGCATAAATGACATAGTGAGCCATTTATTAAACAAAAATCAACAATAGCTTCACTACTATCATGTGCTTAACACTTGTATTATCTAGACACAGATTTCCTTTTATTAAATAGGTAACATTTATTATTTTATTGATATTTTCAAGGGTCATAAATAAAAATGAGATTTAATTACATGAGTAATACATCCTTGGACATCTAGCTTTTCTCCTGGTTATAAAAGATTGGTGTAATACTGGGCACAAGGTCACCCCTGAGTTGTAATACTAGTTCTTTGACTTGTCAACTATGTGATTATAGGCTCCTGCACTCACCTAAGCTATGAGGCAATATTAGTACCTATTCTATAGTAGGTATCATAATAAAGTTATAAATATAAATGGTAAAGCACCATATCTGGTACATGTGGAGGCTCACAATTAAAGCTATTTGATATCACTATTAATTTTATTATCCTAATTTATTCTGAGTGTGGCGAGAGAAACCCCAGCAAAATATAAGCCATGTCACAAGCCCCCTTACAAACTCTACTTGACTTCGTGTATTGTTAGATGGACATGGATGCCCAAGGAAGACACTCAATGGTTGAAAAATTCACCAGACCTCAGAAAGAGCAATAAGATCTGTACTTCAGAATATAGTGAAAGGGAACTTTGGGAGCTGTTTAAATATTATATCATGGAGTATCACAGTATATTTTTTCTGTATTAAAAATGGTGTATAGGTCTTTTTGATTATGTGATTTAAAAAATGGAAAGGTCTTAAAAAAAGCAGAACATATGAAAATTGGGTTGGCACAATGGTTTATGACTGTAATCCCAGCACTCTGGGAGGCCAAGGCAGGCAGATCACATGAAGTCAGGAGTTTGAGACCAGCCTGGTCAACATGATAAAATCTGGCCTCTAGTAAAAATACAAAAATTAGCTGGGCATGGTGGTGGGTACCTGTAATCCCAGCTATATGGGAGGCTGAGGCAGGAGAATCACTTGAACCCAGGAGACGGAGGTTGCAGTGAGCCAACATTGTGCCACTGCACTCCAGCCTGGGTGACAAGAGTGAAACTCTGTCTCAAAAGAAAAAGAAAATTGATCTTCTGTTTGTTCTTACAGTACGCTACAGTACAATAATGAATGGTTAGGGTAAACTTCAGTAAACGCAAAATTAGACCGAGAGAAAAGATTTTTTCATGGTAGGTAATAGACTCATCATTGTGAGAGGTTGTAAAGTCAAATAATATGATGTGGATTTAAAAGCAACTGATTAATTAATTATTCAACACAAGCCATGTAATTGCAACCTGAAGTAATTTCATAAAGGGTTAAATTTTAAAAACTGGATATTAATGGTACTATAAAATGTTATATTCAAAATTTTAGATTAAACCATTAGTGTTGTATAATGATGACAGGAATGTAAAGATATTTACATAGACTCTTATAATGAATCTAGTTCTCCTTATTTGATTATTAGAGAATGTTAGAAATATTTCCTCTACAAAAGAGATATTTACCCTTTCTTTTATTATTCTCTTCCAGATTACCCTCTCATTAATATCATTAGTGGATTATAAGACAGCATGACTGTTAAAACTATTGCCAAACACATGTGTAATTAAACAGCAATAAGGGATTCGTAGGAGAGATTTGCAAAAGAAGTTGAAGAGATTTTTAGGATACAGGCTGTCTAGATCCAGAACATTGGTGTTAGGCAAGTCTCTCTCGTTGAGTTCTTCACAATATATATATTTTTAAATGTATTACCATAGTCTAAATACATTTTGAGTTGTTGGTGATATGGCAAAGAACAAGACAAAGTTGTTGATCTCTATAAAGTTTCCTTTCTAGTGTGAAAGATAGAAAATAAATCAACACATAATAATTTCAAAGGTACATTTTAGCATCTGATAATTCCCAGTCTGATAGAGAGAGGTGCTGCCAGATAGTCATGTTAATATAACTTTCATTTGAGAATAGAGCATTTTTCAGATATGAGTAAGCAAGTAGTAAATATCCTATATTACACCCATTATACGATAGCTACCTTAGAGTTCATGATCATTTGCTGTTTTATGATTAGACATTCAATTTGTACAGCAACCCAAAGCAAACTACGCATTTTTACCAAAAAGAAAATCATTATTTAGTGAAAGAGAACTTGATCATGTGTCCCAAAACCTAGGACTTCCTTTTGTGTTTCTCCCATCAAAGTGTGTCGCAAGATTTTAATGCATCCTGACCTGAAATGCATACTTACAGCAAAAATTGAACATATTCAACTAAAAGAATCAAAAGACATGGATGCTTGTAATGCACTCTGAACAACTGTTGACCTTTGGCTTGCCAAGGGCCCAGCTTGAAACTGGCAGAGTTTAAGGTTAGTTTGAAAAGTCCCAGAAATATCCCAAAAAAGTACCAGAAAAGTCCCAAACATCTCATATTTTGCATTCAAACATCCAAGGAAAATATACAAAAAAGGCACGCCTATCTCAGAGAGGTAGTGGATATAAAGTATATTGATGTGTCCTCCATATGATTTTTATCAAGATGTTTAAAGCACCTAAGATGTGCTATGCAGAGCCTGTCAGTATATCTTTAAATTTCTCCAGATTTGAATCTCATGTTATACCTCTCAATGCATCTATTAGTCATGATGTCTTTTATCAGGGTAAAATAATTAGCTTATATGCAGACTAAAATTGAACCATAAAATCAGATAATTTAGTTAAACTGATCTAGAACAGCAGTTGAAATTGAAATTACCAATTAAACAATACAAAGCCTATACCAGGACTAAGATAAGCTTCGCCTAGAACTTTTACCTCCATTATCAGATCTGAGCAGGAGGATTAAAACTTTTGTTTCAAGTCACTTCTGCCTCTATCAATAAATAGTTAGGGGGGGTGTTAGAAATCATTCCTTCTACCTACTACAACAACTCCCAGCACAACAATCAGCCTTGAATCTAATGAGGCTAATTAGGCCCATGAACCCACTTATGTTAGTTATCACTGGAAGGCCCAGAATCC